AATGTTCCAACATCCGAATCATACAGGTGCCAGAAGAAGGGGAAGAGCAAGATACTGAAAACTTATTTGAATAAATAATGAAGGAGAACTTCCCCAATCTGGTAAAGGAAATAGACTTCCAGGAAGTCCAGGAAGCTCAGAAAGTCCAAACAAGTTGGACCCAAGGAGGAGCACACCAAGGCACATCATAATTACCTTACCCGAGATTAAAGAGAAAGTGAGAATCTTCAAAGCAGCAAGAGGAAAAGAGTTACCTACAAAGGAGTTACCATAAGACTATCAGCTGATTTCTCAAAAGAGACCTTGCAGACAGGAAGGGACTGAAAAGAAGTATTCAAAGTCACCAAAGGCAAGGACCTACATCCAAGATTACTCTATCCAGCAAAGCTATCCTTTAGAATGGAAGGGCAAATAAAGTGCTTCCCAGGTAAGGTCAAGTTAAAGGAGTTCAGTAAAGGGTGGGGGAATGCTGGAGTTGGGGGGTGTACTGGGCAGAGGAGTACAAAGGGGAGGAAAAATGGGGCAGCTGTAATAGCACAATCAATAAAATATACTTAAAAAATAAAACCCTGTAGACTAATTACAACAACAACAAAAAAGTTAAACAGAATTACCATTTGACTCAGCAATTCTACTCCTAGGTATACAACCAAAATAATTGAAAAAAGGTACTCAAATACTTGTATCTGAATGTTCATAGTAACACTGCACAAAAGCCGAAAGCTGGAAGTAACTCAAGTGTTCATTAGCTGAAAAATGGATAAACAAAATATAGCCTGTCCACACAATGGAATGCTATTCAGCCTTAATAAGCAGTGGTGTACTGACACATGCTACAAGGTAGATGATTCTGGAAAAGACTGCTCAGTGAAAGAAGCCAGACACAGATCTCCTACTGTATGACTCCAGGTACACTACATAAAACGTCCAGAAAGGCAAGACCTTTTTGTGACATGGTGGTCCCCCCACCCGGGGACAGGAAGGAATGGGGAGCAACTGCTTAGTGGGTACAGGGTTTCCTTTTGGGTGATGAACATATTTTGGAACTAGATAGAGGTGATGGTTGCTCCACATTGTAAATGTACTAAATGCCAGTAAATTTTACACTTTGAGATGGTTAATGATTAATTTTGTTATATGAACTTTACCACAATTAAAAAAAAAGGGACAGAGGGGCCCCCTCGGGGAAGAAAAGATAATCAGAGACCCTGGGGGTCCCGTCTCCCCAGGGACTCTCCTGAGACTCATCTGCCTTCAGACACTGGGCTTCCCTTTCTTCCACAGGACTGAGAGCACCAGACGGGCAGCGACTAGGCCCAATTGGTGGCCAAGCTCCCCAGGGCTGAGGCCAAAATTTCTGAGGCATCCTTGTCTTCTTTCTCTGGCATGCCCCATATTCAGTGTATCAGCAGAAACTCCTGTTGTTTCACCCGCTGCTTCCAGCCTAGTCTGAGAGCCCGGGATCTCCCCCAGTGCTTACTGCCTCCTTCTCTGGCCTCCCCGCTTTTGTCTGACAGCCTATCCTCATCACAGCTGCTCAGCAATTCAGTTAAAACCTAGATCAGATCATGTCCCTCTGCTTAAAACACTCCTTGGCTTTCTTCTCCCTCAGAGCAAAGCCACAGCAGCATGCAAAGCCCCATGTGGTCTGGCCCTGATCCTTTTCTGACCCCATCCCTTACCAGTCTCCCTCCCATTCCCTCCAGCCCAGCCACATTGGCTTCCCTACGACTGCTGAAGATACCACTGCTTTGTGTGGCTTTTGCACTTGCTCATCCTGCTTGGAATGCCCCCCCGGATGCACACACAGCCTACTTCCTCACTGCCCTCAGCTCATGACCACATGTCAGTAAGACCCCCCATGACCCCCTATTTCAAATGCAGTCCTCCGCCGCCCCCATTTCCTTCAGAACTTTCTTAGCACACTTTCTAAGATACTGTATCACTGACTTGATTTTAATGTCATCAGCTGACTCCCCACCTAAATGCCAGCTCCACGGGAGAGGGATTTGGCCTCTTTTGTTCCATCCCATCTCCCGGCACCTAGAACAGAGCATGGTGCTCACTAAATGCTGGCTAAACATGTCCTGAGCACTGTCCAGCCCAGGATGCACAAGGACAAGATGTCAAGCCTACATGACAACCTATGGAAACCTGTTGCCGGGGTGAGCAGGAGGCAAGAGCCCTGCACTGGCCTGATTCAACCACCACCTTTAGTGGGGCCACCTCTGGGCCTTGTACACAGTAGGTGCTCAATAGAGATTTGCTTCCCTGAATGGATATCATCTGTCGAGCATGATACTATAGCATCTCCCTCAATGTTTATTAAGCACAGAAGGCCACACCAGTGAAGGGCCAGGCATGAAGCCTGGAACACAGACCCAAGGACAGAGCAAGGATGGGGCAGAGGAGAGGGTGGATGTTCCACAGCACACACAGAACAGCCAACAACGAGCAGCCCTGGGAGGCCTGCAGGAACTCTCCAGGGCACTGTTCCAGCTGTCTGCAGCAGAGAAAGGAGAAAAGAAGTATTGCATGTGTCTGGGGGGTGAATGGTGCTATGTGCCCCTGCACTGCAACACCCAGATGTCAGATAATGCCCTGAGCATCAAGGGCGCATAGCACCATATCAGTCTCCCACAGAATCCAAACTCCTCCCATAGCCTGCAAAACCTGCTGTAGCCTGGTCCTGCTGGGCTCTCTGAGCACTTCACATGCCTCTTTGGTATTTTAGTCCCTTCAGACTAGCTACTCAAGAAACATCCTTCTCCCTTTCAGGAGGCAAAGTTCCTTCCCACTCAGGCCTGAGACTCTGGAGCGTTCTTTTTTCAAAGCTCCACCTGTATCACCTATTCATTTAATCTTAGCTCAAACCTTACCTCCTCTGTGAGGCCCTCCGTGACCACTCAGTCTAAATGAGCTTACCTCCATCCAGTTACCCTCCATTTTTTTCTTCCTTCATAGACCTTGGTGCTCTCTGAAATGCTTTTGTGTGCTTACCTCTTTATATTTCAGTTTTCCGTAATGAAAATGCAAATCCATGAGACCAGGAAACCTTGTTTACTCTTTTTTTGTTGTTGTACCTAGTACACAATCATTATTCAATGTAGATGCTGAATGGCAATACTCCTCCACTTTAGTAGATGCTATGGAATTCATCATGTTTCTCCTTTTGTTGTTGCTACCGGGGAGCTCCAAGTCAAACATGGAACTCAATCGTACCACCTTGGTTAATCCTTCCAGTTGGGTATCTGAATTCTCCCCCTGCCCATGACCTCAATTTTCTACTTGGGAATCTACCTGTGAATACTTTAATTATTACTCATCGCAGAGTAGCTACCCTCAGGCTTTTGGGAGCACAAGGCCAGGCATCCAGTAGGCCCCACACAGTTACCCCATAAGGGTCCCTTCAAATGGGTGGGGCCCTGAAGTGCCAGCCTTCTCCTGGCATGCTAACCCACCCTGGCCCCACTCTGTTCTGGTCTCTACTTGCCCCAATTCAACGTCTCCTGTCCCTGTACCCAGTCCTCACTCTCTGGACTCTGGCAGGCGTGTCCTCCTGGCCCACCCCCTGGCCTATGGACTGTGATCACGCCCGTCCAGGCCCCAGGAAACCAGGGCAGCCAGTGCTGGGCTTCCTGCCAAGGCCTTGCATGGTGCCCTCTCCCAAGAGCCAGTTTTCAACTTCTTCCTGGTACTCTTTCATGAGTTAACAGTCATGACTCCATCTAGAATTCTTACAGCTGGGCCAGAGTCTGGGAGAAGGGAGAGCAGTAGCTGTGACCAGGAAGTAGGAAAACAGGACCGGATGCCTTATCTGGTCTCTCTCAGGACTGCTGCCTTCCAGGTTGACCTTGAGCAGTAGTGGCCTCTTTCTGGGTCTAGGCTTTAACATGTATGGAGGGAAGGGTCCTGGTGACCTCGGGCATCTACTATGGCTTTCAGTCTAAAATGAGTCCAGCTGGGAAGCCAGGGGGTCAGGGGCCCCACACTCTTTTTAAATTTTTTTAAAATTAAATTTATTAAGGTGACATTGGTTAGTGACATTATATAGTTTCAGGTGTATAGGACTCCCATCTCTTGGGGGCAAAGAACCTGTTGCATCCCTGATCCCACCAGGGCAGGCTAACAGCACTGAGTTCTCTTGCAACCTCCCGTGCCGCCTGCCCTCTGCTCCCACAAAGGACACTGACTGAATGCCTCCACCCTCAGAACCTCAGCTACTGATGAGAGCTACGGGGTCCTATAGAAAGAGGTCATGAGCATGCAGCCTGTAGGCTCAGTTTGGTCTGCAGGTAGGACTTTAAAATCCTAAATGAACTGACACAATAAGATACCAGAAAATACCACTTAATAATCTGAGCTTCTGGCTCTGCTCTAAAGCCAGGCCTCATGGCCATGCTGGGCCTACAGTGGAGCTGAGCAGCAACCACCCACAAACCACCACCACCTGCCTGACCATTTCTTTATGTGCTCTGCTGGGCCCTGGGGGGTTTCTAACTTGTTTTTAGCCCCACGGTTTTCAACAAGTCTTTAGCAGAAGGTCTTAGAACAAAACCGTGAACTTCAGTCCAATAAAAAGTAAGCCAAAATAGGACAGCTTTGATTGGATGGGGACAGGGCTGGGCTCCCCCAAACCATCATTCCAGCAGGGGTCTTTGAGGCCTGTTCATAGAACACAAACTGAAAGTCACTAATGTAGAAGCCCCAATCCTTGTAAAGTTTCACTCTTCACCAAGTGGACATCCCTTCTTTCATACTCCATAATAGGGAACTCACCACCCCCAGTGCAGTCTAGCCCATTCTAGTTATCTACCTTTTTCTGACACCTTGCTCCCTCTCTTGTGGACCACAGACTCCATGCTTCCCCTGAACTATGAACGGGAATTGAACCCCACTGGGCTGTGCTTCTCTAGGCTGAGCTACGCCCCCCCCATGGCCACTCCTCCTGGCTGGCAGCCCCCCTGGCCTGTGGCAGCCCCAGGCCCCTGGCCTTGTACCTTTAGCTCGTTGAGATAGCGTCTCGTGTGCACCACCAGCAGGTCCTCATCCGAGGCTTCCCGTGCCTCTACCAGCAGGCTGTCTGACAGAAGCTTCTCTTCTGAAACCATAAAGCAGGAACCATGCTTCCCTGCTGGGAGTGCCAGGCCCAGCTCAGCCCCAGACCCTCCCATAGGCTGCAGACTTGGCCTCTGTCAGCCCTGCCCCAGGAGAAGGTGGGTGCTTCTGATTTATGGGCATTCTGAGAAGGGGCCACCTCCCAGGCCTGCGTAAATAATAGTAAGGACCTTAGGCCAGGGGACTTCGGACACTGTGCAGAAAGCAATCCTTCCCAAGCCACTGATAGTTATGAAGTAAGCTCAGGTGTGTCTGGACAACTTTAGAGGCAGATTACACAGGGTCAATGATGTTGATTCTCAAGGTGAGAAAAGCTCTCTGATCAATTCTCCTCCACCTTCTGATGGCATCATGGGGGCTCAGTGTGGTGTGGCAATTCTTTAATAACCCCTTTACCCATTATTATCTCCTTTTTTAACCTCCCAAAAATCAGTCTCACAGCCTGCAGCAACAATAATTGGCCTAACCTGAATTATATTCTTGTTTCCAATGTATTTATATTTTACTATGACTTTCTATGCAGGGCAAGTAAAACCTGCTTTTCCTATTTAAATGACATATGTTTCCTTTTTTAAAAAAGTTTTATTTGATTTCCAGTCAGGGCACATGCCTGGGTTGCAGGCCAGTTCCCAGCAGGGAATGCACAAGAGGCAACCATACATTGATATTTCTCTCCCTCTCTCCTTCCCTTCCCCCTCTAAAGATAAATAAATAAAATCTTTAAAGAAAGTTTTATTTATTAATTTTTAGAGAGAGGGAAGGGAAGGAAGGAAGAAAGAGAGGGAGAGAAACATTGATGTGTGAGAAACGCATCAATAGGTTGCCACTCGCACGTCCCCAACTGGGGACTCTGCCTGTAACCCAGGCGTGAGATGAGGAACCGAACCAGCGACGTTTCAGTTTGCAGAATGGCACACCAGCCAGGGAAATGTTTCCTTTTAAAACCAAGTTTAAGTTTTTTTAAAACGAAGGCTAAATCAATGAGAAGATATGAAGTAAATAATGGAAGAGGCAATATGAAGAGACAGCAAGGTCCCAAGTGTGGCTTATAAATGACCAACGTTTAGAAAACACGGCATTAATTCACTACCCCTCACATACATCAGACAAAATTTGCTCCATTTTGCAAAAAAAGAAAAAAAAAAAGAAACTGAGGCCAAGAGTTCGAAGTGCTCTAGAGCAGTGAGAACAGGCCCATGATGCTCTGGGTTTTAGGAAAACCAAAGGGACAAACAAGGTCAGAATCTAGGGGACCTGTTTTAAAATATTAACTTTAGAAACCAACCCTCAAAGAAACCAACTAATTACATACATTTCTCACATATAGTTCCACATACAGCAGGTGCTTCCCTAACTATACCCCAGAACATTCCATGGCTCTCCACTGCTTTCAGGCAAAGGGACAGCTCTTTTCTTAGAGGTACCCGAGACCCTTCGAATGTGGCCTGTTTCCTTTCTATTTATATCCTCGTAGGAGAAAGGAGGGAATTCAGGGGGACTGTTGCCTCCAGATGTGGAAGACAAGGAAATCTTCTGTAGGGCCACTAGGTGACACAGGAGCCCAAGAAAGGGAAATGGGGACAGTGACTCAAACTGGAAACAGAGCATTCAGGAAGGCAGGAGAACCGCTCACTTCACTCGCTTGCCATTGGTGCACATGACTTGTATTCTTTTCTACTTAATATTTTCTGTGAACACTCACTCTAGTCACTACTGCAAACAGAATATTAGTACCACTTGTCCTAAATAGAATTTAACCAGAAATAAAAAAACAAGTACAATAGGAATAGTGTTGTAATTTGATTCTATCTCCTGCAAGGCACAGGAACTCAGGCTTGCTCTGGATTTGTTAAAAAGGGAGATGGGCTTAGTGTTAAAAATGAGCTAACCCCAAAGTGAGACTTTCTCCACAGTGTGATCAGAAGGATAGGTCATCCTATGCTAGGTAACACTTAAGGTAATATTTCCTATTTCTCTCAGACCACCCTTGACAGAGGGAAAAAGGGAAATTATCCTTGTACTAGCCCTACTGTGATGCCTGAATTTCCCACAATGAAACAGTGCAAGCATCACTTTGCTCCATGGGACAAGCCAGGAAGTGGGGGAGCCTAGACCTCTCTACTCCCCCTCTGCCACTTAGTAGCTATGTGGCAGAAACTGTGGGCATGTTTCCTAACTTTTCTGGGACCCATTTCCTCCACTGATAGTCAATGGTGTTGAAGCAAAAGTCCATCTTCCTCTTGAACTCTCTGAACTTGTAGGGGATGGACACTGGATTCCTCCAAACTTCAGCTTCCTGTGTCCATCGTTAATTAGCTCCCTTTCTTCTGGGCTTCCAGGGGAAGACACTGGACTTAGGCCCAGAGCAATGTGGACCCAGGGAAGGCTTGACACTGGGACATATCATGCTTAGAAGTCTGTGTTGCAAAGATTCTTTTGACAGTATGGGTGGAAGGCAGTCTGAGGGCTGAGGCTTTTGGTAGGAGAGTCTGAAGCTTGTTTTAGGGAAAGGCAGTGGGGAGGGTAAAAAAAGCAGATGCAAGGTCCAAAGGAGGGCTTTTCATACCTTTTAGGAAGCTGATCACCTTGCCCCACTTTCCTGCATCGAAGGGGTGCAGCTTCTCCAGGCCCATAAAGGTTATGTTGTAGCGGGGTGAGTACACGATGGGCCACCGTGTCTCCGGTACATGCTGGTACAGCTGGCTTGTATGTGGCCTTCCGAGTGCATAGGGACAGAATACACACAGATAGGGATGGTCTCAGTGTGGGAAGCAGCCTCACCCTGTGCCAGTCGGCTTTGATTTACCAAATAGCGTTGACCTGGTACCACTAGCTCTTTCAGCAGCAGAAAAGGGGCCACTTAGCAACAGCAACAATAATAGCGGCTCCCTGCTGAGCATTGGCTCTTTCCCTGCACTATACAACCCAATCCTGACAGCAGTCCTGGGAAGTAGGCACCACCACTCATCAGACTTGGAGAGGGAACCAAGGTCTCACAGCAGGTCTGTGGAGCAGCGGATGTACACCAAGGTGTGTCTCAATGCAAGGCCTTAGCCATCTCACTTCCACGTTATAACAATTACACCGAACAGTTGAATGGCCCTAGGCCTCAGTTTCCTAAAAATCATGTGCCTGTTGCGAGGATCCAGATTATGCATCTCATCAGCTGAGCAAAGAAAGCGTCCTGGCCACGAGAGCTGGGGTACCAGAAACAGCCGGTAGGGGCTCCCGCAGATTATGGCCCAACCCGGAGCTAGGGATGCTGGTCACTCCGGCCCACCGAGCAGTTTAGCCCCCTCCCCACTCCATCAAACCGCAGCTGCCGCACAGGGGCGGCTCCAGCTGCTGCCACGGCAGGGGCCTCCGCAAGGCGGAGGGACCCGAGAGAAGACATAACACCCGCCCAAGTCGCGGGCCCCCGCCCGGGTCGCGGCCTCCTGTCGCGACGGGCTCCTGTCCCTTCGGCTGCAGAGAAATGGCAGGGGGGTGACCGGGAGCGCTGGGTTGGCCTGGGCGAACCGGACCGAACGACCCCTCGCCTGCCATACCTGGGCCCGCACCTGGCGGGCCCGTCCGGTCGCCCGCACACTGTGCTGCCGCCAAGGGGGACCCCTGGGAACGCCGGGGACTTAGGCGCCCCACCCCGTGCCCCGACCCCGGCCACACTCACATCCCGCTGCCGGGTAATCCCAGCGCTGGCCACAGCTCTACAACCGGGCGGCACGGGGCACAGCCCCGCCCAGGACACGCCCCCAGCCTCCGCTACCTCCGCTGGGGGCGGGGCTCTCTCAGGCTCAGCTCCGCCCAGCCTTCGTTCGCGTCACAGAAGGTCCGAGCCCCTTGCGAAGGGCTACCACAGGAAGGAGACCACGCCCTCAACGCCCATCAAGCGCCAAGTCCCGCCTTCCTCTAGCAAGTACCCAGTGGACTCGCGCCTGGCGCGGAAAGACACGCCCTTTGCGGGGGCGGGGTGGACAGCCCTAGCGAGTTATCGCCGTGCGTCACAGGGTTGGGACCTCCTTGCTGCATCGCCCGCCCCAGGGAAGGGGTCATGCTAAACCTGGCTCTCGGCCGCTCCCCATTTCTGCAATCTCGCAGGGCAAGAGAACCTAGGAATTCTTCACTCTGGGATTCCCGGCGCCGAAGCTGAGATGGAGTCGCTGTGTGACCTTGGGCTAACGTCAGCACTCTGGGGTCTCCGCTTCCGCGAGTAAATTGGGAGGGTGGGGCTATGTGCTCCGGCTGAGGAGATACGTCACCTGAGTTGAGGTCACATGCGCCCCCTACCGGAATAAAGCCCCCAGTCCCATCCTTGGAGGCTCTGACTTTACATAAGCATTACTAACACAGGTATAGGCTCTCCGAGTCTCAGTTTCTTCATCAACAGAACCTGTTGATGATTCAATCCTCGACGTACAGTCCCCTCGCCCCCCCTCCCCACTGTAGGAAGCCAAGACCACTCCCAGTGAGTAGTTTCTTGGGGCTGGACCCTGGGCAGAGGCCCCAACAATAGAGCCCCAGAGGCCAGAGACAATAGACCTTTCTGTGAGCTCATCTGTCCCGGCCAACCAAACAAGCAGCTGACCCAAGAGCTGCCAGGAGCAGGTCAGCTGGGATCCCTGGTGGCTGCATGAGGGTGTTGGAGTGACAGGGTCACTTGATTGCGTGATGACATTGGATTCTCGTAATCCCATAAGAGGGTGCTGTCACACCCCAATTTTATCATGAGGAAACTGAGGTGGGATGCAACCCCACCTACCAGCACAATGGCCTTGGCAACTTGTTTTAGCTTATCTGGTCCTTCATTTCTGCATCTGCAAATGAGAGGATGCCTGCCCATCTCTCTCATGGGGAAGTTGACAGAATTGGAAGAGATGGTAATGCTGATAATTGTTTAAAGAGCACATAGCATGTGTTAGGCTCAATTCTAAAAGCTTCATGTTCTTTTAATCCTTAGAGCAACCCTAGGAAGCAAACTATGATTCTCCACATTTTACAGAAGAAGAAACCGAGGCACAGATTTAGTTTGCCTAAAGGTCAGGATGCAGCCAGATGTAAACTATAGCCACAGAAAGGAAAAAATAATATTTAATGCCAATTGTAAACAAGAAAGTGCCTACATTGGCCCAATGTCATTGTGAGAGGTCAAGATTATCTCAGGGAACTTGCCCTGTGGTTTGGGAAGGCAAACAGATGAGCTTGTTAGGAGGACCAGAGTCTGGGACAGGCTGGATCAGGGAGCTGAGGCCAAAGAGAGTAGGAGTCCTCTGGGTAAAAGGATATTTTAAGTTGTGTCTGGTGTGGCTGAGGAGGAAGGTGTTTTGGAGAGCCCCAGGGGCTTGGAAACACCTTCAAAACACTATGACAACTTGGACCACCTACCCACACTGTTGCCAAACTACCAATAGGTTGTTGTTGCCAACAAGCAAAAACTGGAGGCAGAGTTCAGTGGAAAGGAAAGGAATTTTCTATTCAAAGTCTCTACAGTTTGAAATAATGGCGGGTTTCTGACTCAAAGCCCGTATCCTCTAAGATGCCCAAAGAAAATCACCCTGCCACCATCTGCCGGCTCAGTCCAAGTTCGCCCCTGAAACTTCATCTTCCACCCAATAGTATCATCCTTTAAGAAATGTAGTGGCTTGCCACGTCCACTGCCGTGTCCACTGTTGGATCCCTCTCTCTGTGACAAGGTCCTGAGAGGGGGTGTAAGACTTCAAGGAAGCAGTTTCCAACTTGGTGGACGTGGCATGGAAGGCCCTGCAATACCTATTGTGATTGTGCTTGCTTTGGGGATCATGACCTTTTCTGCTTTAATCATTATGAATACCCTTGCGGTGATTCAGATAGTGTGCCTAGACCTTTCCCGGCTCAATGAACAGAATAATATATCATACTAGAAATGTCAGGGAATATAGGTACAAAGAAACAACCAGAACAATCTGAGAATTCAAGCTTAATCAATAACAGATCATTGGAAAAACACCCAAGATAAGTTAGAAAACTCTAGGAAATCAGGAGATGATCTCACTGCTTTCTTAGAGGGAATCAAAGTACAAAACATGTCTATAAAAGAACTCCTAGAGAAACTTAAAAGAAGTACCCTTGAAAGCCCCCTGCAACATAGGAATAGCCCCTCCTTTACCTTGAATAAGAATATATATCAACTAGACAGGCAAAGAAATTACAAAAGCTAGCTAGTTATTACAAACTAAACAGTTACTAAAGAGTCAGAATTTATAGTACACAGAAAAACATTTTAGACAAAAAAAGATAGATAGCTAAGTTAGACATCACAAGGGCCTTATAATGAATTTCCTATTTTCTCTACTCAATCTAGCATATCCTTTTGCCCTATGACAAATTCTGAGAAACTTTAATATACAATGAGATACTTCTAATTGTCTGATTAATAGCTCTCCTGGTTAAAATAATCTTTGTTCTTTATAACTAAATCTATGGGAACTTTCGTACTTTTACTGATTACCTTTGTATTAATTTTTTCTGCTTAAATGATCATGCTATACTGCAAATGTTAATCACTACCTAAAATGAAAATATAAAAACCTGCTTGTACTTGCAATAAACGGAACAGAGCTTCACTGTCCTTTGAGGCGTGTTGTCGTCTGTTATCCAGCGCCGATGCCTACCCTCACCTGTGGGACCCCTTGACCCGCTGCGGCCGGACCGCGGCAGGACCGCAGCAGGTGGCGCCCGTGAACAGGGACCCTCAGGTAAGACCCCTTAAATTATTCTCGGGTAGACTAGGCTCTCACTGACCGGGTGCTGCAGACCCCCTGGTAGATAGACCAGGTAGTAAAGGGTGAGTAATCATGGGACATTCTGAATCTAAAGAAAGAGGTTTACTTATTGATATAACTAAGCATATGCTCCATAAGGGAGGAGTAAATGTGTCAGGAAGACACCTTAGAGATTTTTTTCACTTTGTTCAAGAATGTGCGCCCTGGTTCCCGGAGGAGGGATCAGTGAATCCAGAGACTTGGCAGCGACTTGGCCAAGATATGAAGACTTATTATACCCTTCATGGGCCCGAAAAGGTTCCAGTAGATGCTTTTCCCCTTTGGAATGTTTTAAAAGATAGTTTTGACCCCACTCATGAGGTTGCGTGCCTCGCTAAACAGGCGACCCAGGAGGAAAAACAGCCTTTGTGTGCGGTGGTAAACATAGCAACTTGTGAAAATCTAGCTCCTTCTGCCCCGCCACCCGCTCTAAATGAGCATGAAAAGAGTGAGAGTGAGTCTGACTCTGACTCGGATAATGAACAGCCTGAGAAAAAGGAAGAGTTGCCACCTGATTATCAGACTGAATTAGAAGAAGAAGCTGCTAGATATCATTCTGAAGATTTCGGCCCCTTGGCATTAGCTGCGCTGGGAGACCGGAAAGTGAAAGTAAAAACAAAGTTTGCTCGGTCTCGGCAAGCGAAGCGTCTGCCTGAGAAGGTCGGGTTTCTGGGGGCCATGAGAGAGGCAAGGAGGCAGGGTGAGACCTTGAGTTGCTTCCCAGTGATTTTTCCAATGACTCCTCAGGACCCCCCCCGCAGTGGGAACCTTTGCCGTTTAAGTTAATAAAAGAAATAAAAATGGCTGTTAAGGACTTTGGTCCTACTTCCTCTTATACTTTGCAGCTTGTAGATTCCATTGCTGCTGAGTGGATGACCCCTTATGATTGGCAACAAACAGCAAAATCATGTCTTAACTCTGGACAATATTTGCTGTGGAGAACAGAGTATGAAGACAATGCTAAAGCTAGTGTTAGAAGGGCATTCTCCCAGCCCTCAACAGAGAGACTTACAATGTCTATGTTATTAGGGACCGGAGAGTACGACTCTCCACAGGCTCAGTTATCTTTATCGAGGACTGCTTTAGAAGAAATATCAAAATTAGCTATTATAGCTTGGAGAAGATTGCCCACTCCTGAGCTAGCTACTTCCTTTTTAAGCAACATTAAGCAGGGTCCAGAAGAGCCTTTTGAAAATTTTTTAGCAAAATTAGAGGAAGCGGTCTCCAAAGCTGTTCCCATGAAAGAAGCTGCAGAACTAGTTCTCAAACAATTGGCTTTTGAGAACGCTAACCAAACTTGCCAAGCACTATTGAGACCTGTTAGGCAGACAGGAACAGTGGGGGACTATGCGAAAGCTTGCATGGAAGCCTCTCCAGCATACATTCAAGGGGTGGCAATAGCTGCAGCCTTAAAAGGAAGAACTTATACCCAATTCTTACGAGACATAAGGTCTGGGGGACAGAAAAATAAAGGAAATTCCTTAGGGGCTGCTTGCTATTCCTGTGGCCAGCCAGGGCATATAAGAAAGAATTGTCCCCGCAACAATCAGTCAACCAATACTGGAGGCTTGCTCCAGCAACCTCCCACGGGCCCTCGGCCCACGGCTGTATGCCCTAGGTGTATGAAAGGATTTCATTGGGCCAAGGAATGTCGCTCCAAGTTTCATAAGAACGGGCAGTTGTTGCCCCCACAGGGACAGAACAGAAACCAGGGGCAGCCTCCCTTGCCAAATATGCCCCAAGTGACTCAACAAATGCAACAGCTCCAATTAACTGAACAGCCAAAAAACGGAGTATGGGGGCTCCCCCAAGCCCCCGTTCCCAATTGGGGACAGCCACAGGAGACCAACTCAAACTCACCGTATATGACCTGGCCCGAGCCTCCCCGGGGAGCGCAGGACTAGATCTTCCGTCTCATAGACATGTTATCATTACCCCAGAATCAGAAGTAGTGTTAGTTGCTACTGGGATTTATGGACCCTTACCTCAAGGAACCACTGGTCTTATTATTGGAAGAAGTTCTGCCTCCAGAGCTGGGATTTC